AAGCCTCTAATCTGTATTTTATGAAAACAGGTTCCAAAGTGAGAAAATCTTTAAATGAAATCCTTACATGTTTGTGTGAACAGCCTAAAGACAACCTTTATAAAACTATAAACTATATGTACTATATACTTTATATACACTTGCACCTAATTTAACCCACGACAACCCCAAGAGAGGCAGACCTCACCGCTGTCGGCACATTAAAATAAACAACTTTATTTATACAGGTAGTCTCATTGAGTCACAAGGACTCGTTTTCAGTAGAGATGCACCTATCCGATACCAATATCAGTATCGGTCGCGATATCGGAAAAAACTTCTGCATCGGGTATCGTGACAATGTGACCGATCCATGACAGGATCTATTCACTCTAATTCTATGCTTTGTGCTCTGAGTGACGTCACGCGCTAGCAAACTCACCGCACAGATTGTTTTCAAAATGGAGCGAGCGAAAGGATCAGCCATCTGGAACTATTTCACACTACCTCAGCCAACACATTCGACATCAACGTGCAATACGTGCACAGCGACGGTTCCAAGGGGTGTCACTAAAACTAACAGTTATAACACTACCAACTTAATCAAGCATCTCCAGAGATTTCACCTTAAAGAGCACGCCGAGTTTGGTGAACGGAATTCAGCACCGTTTTTCTGTATCAGATCGGTATCGGATCGGCAGCTGCACAAACATGCACATCTGTATCGGTATCGAAAGTGGGAAAAGTGGATCGGTGCATCCCTAATTTTCAGACCTGTTTTTTTTGGGAGCAGAGTTTGGGGGTTAAGGGGCTTGCTCAAGGGCCCAGAGTGGGGCAAATCAGGGTGGAGGCAGGTGTGTGTGTTTCACCTTTCCCACCCACATTTTGATGTTCTTGGTCCGGGGAGTCGAACCGTCGACCTTCCGATTACAGGCTCACATTCTCTAACCTCTGCGCCACCACTCCACCAGATAAACCTGGCATAAGTACTACAGCAGTTGGGTTGTTTGATGTGTTTTTATGCATAAAAAAACATTTGCAGAAATGATTTTGACATGACTATTATTAAAAAAACTTTTGTGTGGAAAAACCCCAAGAGAAGCAGGAGCTCACAGCTGCATAGACTTTATGATTTAAGCCACAGCTGCACTGTCAAACAGTATGTTATGAGGGCTGGTGGCTAATCATCTCCTCCGGGGACTGAACAAACACTGATTTGATGTTAGTTTGCAATTTAGGTATTTTTAGTGTTGTAAACTTTAAGTTCTGGGTCTTGTTTCTCGCTGCATTTAAATATTTTTTTTTTGTAGCAGCAGTTCACAATGCTACTACAGCTATTTGCCTCACAAAAAAAGTCTAAAGTAGATAATAGGGATGCACAATATTATAGGCATGGTATCGGTATCGGCCGATATTAGCATTAAAGTTAAATATCGGACATTTCATGAAAATAACTCACCGATATAAAATATGCTGTTTTTGTATGACAAACCAGTGACAAGGATGTCTGCAGCGCCAGCACAACGTGATGACGTCATGCACGTCTACCTGATCTGATCACGATGGAGAGGATGAAGTCAAAATGTCGGCAATGTGGAAGTTTTTTCATTGAGGATATCATATTCCGAAAATATTTGGACTACGTTGAGCCTCGCTACATCGTCCCCAGTCGGAGATATTTTCCGACGTATTTTCCTTACCCAAGTCACAAGCCATCATTTCCGATGTCATTGAGACGCTAATAGCTGATAGCACTGGGGTGAGTTTTACCACAGACATTTGGACGTCAAGTGTTAGCCCCGTTAGCATGATTTAAGGTGTTTTCACACCCGATAGTCCGGTGGACTCGGTTCGATTGGGGATCAAAAGTCAGAACATTTCTTTACATTTTCAGCTGGTGTAGTTCACATTCTCACTGCACTGAGTCAATCGAGCCAACCTGTTCCCCCCCCTCACCTGTGGTGGCGCTGCACCAAGAACTAGGGAAGGAAACAACACAAAAACCTCTGAAGAAGAACAACTTCTTCTTCTTCTTCTTCTGGAAATAAAAACAAAAACAGAGTGGTATCAAATTTAAACAGTTTTAGGATTTCTGTTTGGTCATTTTTCAACAGCATGAGCAGAAGATGAGGCAGAAGACCATGGAGAATGTTGGTTTTCGCACAAGACGGCTCCGTATGAGGTAAGAGAAATGCACTTTGTTTGCCCTGCGCTGTAGTCCACTTCCTGCTTTTGGAGCGGTCTCCGGTCCGCTTGCATTCACACTGCACCGCGCTAGAGTTCACTTCAACTGGACCGAGACCTAGGTATTTAGTCGGACCAGAGTTCTCTTTTTTTTGTGGCAGCTGTGGTTGTTTTAAAGGGCTTTATAAATAAAGTATTATTATTATTATTCACACCTCCCCAAATGAACCAGACTTTCTAGGCAAACGGACAAGAGTTCGATTAAAGTGGACTAAACAGGGATGGAGTGAATGCACCCGTAGTCTTATGGCACGATGGATAGACAAAACTTTGAACTTAAAAAGTCTGTCCTTCATGCACAGGAGAGCAGAGGATCCCACCCTGCAGCTATAGGAACCTGGAACAAACCTCCACAGGTGAGACAGCATCGCAGGTGACTAATGCTAATAAATAACATTTAACACTTTTCATTTCATATAAGTTAAAGAGCTATGCATATGGCTGTTACTAAATATATGTCACCAGCTCTTACACAACATTTGTAGCAAATAAGGCTAAATAAGAGGGATATGCTCTGACAAATGAAAGTATATACAAAATATTGGTATCAGTTATCGACCAAATAAGAATCCAGTATCGTGCAACCCTAGAAGACAAGTCAAGGTTCTTTATTGTCATTTGTATCACATGTGGTACACGAGGTAGAACGAAATTGTGTACACATGGTCCCACATACAACAATATCAAAATGATAAAGGGTAAAAAGAAACAGTAAATAAGGATCTAAGATATAAACTCAGATATAAGCTAAACGCCCAACGGTATGCTGAAAGAGCTAAGACTAGTCACCAATAGTGCAAAACAATACACCGAACAACAGCAGCACCATTCTCATAAGTTCGAGCATACCAAAGCATGCAGCATGCAGCATGCATAAGTGCAGCTGCTGTCAAGTATTTCTCAGCAGAGCTGCTTGGCACATCTTTAGAACAGGACCAGTAATTTTCCCTGAAGCAAAACGCAGACAAAACACTGACCAGAAAGCAGCACCGCAGATATAAATACACGAGGGTGTGAGAAGGAAGTGTTTACCATTCTGCCTTTACTGCTAACACAGTCAGTCCTCCACAAGGCAGAACAGTGGGCGGCAGGACAAATGAATACGCTGAACTTTTCACATAACAGGTTGGCGACCCCCTACATACACGTCATACATATAATGTCTCATCCACCGCCCCCTCCTACATGTCTGAAGGAGACAGCCACATGTCTATATCCTTCTCCCCCTTTTCTCTTCCCTATTTTATTCTCATTTGGAGAAAAATGAGTTAAAAAAACCTGAAGCCAAAGCTTGGTTATGCTCCATTTATAGACTACCAAGCTGAAGTTTTCACTGTGCAGTGAAAGCAGTGAACCCAACACACACACCGGGTGTTAAACTAGGATCAAAAGAAATCAGAAGTGTCTGCACGCACACACACACACACGTATATTGTACAAAAGGACATTTGGCATAGCTCCGGCAAGTAAAGGATCAAAGACACAAGCTTTTAATTCCAGGCACAGAGGCGAGGTAAGCATCACGCTGAGCCGCATGAAAACCAAACGGTTTCGTCGCCGCCGTTTGGAACAAGGTAATAAGGGTCCCATCTGCGGACGCTGATGCTGACGTGACGGCAGCAGGGGTGAGAAGTGAAACACAGCTTGAATAAAGATTATATCCTCAACCTGAGGTCAAGCTTTCCTCACACAGCTGAAAGATGCAGTGTGGCAGAGGAGGACGGTGTTAGAAAGAGCAACAGGGTGGCTGAATTTTATCTTTATACCACACAGTGATAAAAAAAATAATTATAACCCCGACCTTTATATTATAGTCCTAGAGCTCATAATATAAAAGGTCTGTTGGGAGCTTTTTAATCCGTGGCTATAATATTTATCTCTTGCCACCAAAAGGTAAATGCAGAAGAGAATGTTTGAGGATGTGCCTGTCTGTTAACAAAATATCTCAGGAGTCACTGGACAGATTTTAAATACATTTGCAGGTAATCGTTGGATATCTAGACCTGATTAACCCTTAGAGTCCAGGAAGGCTGCCACGGCCAACTAATCTTAGAAAACAATGAAATAGCTACACCTCCGTTCGTTTTACAGACACTGAATTAAGAGTTTGGTAGTAGCTGAGGCTGATCCCAAACACATACTGTGAGAGCTAACAGATTGTGCAAGATTAGGATTTAAAATATTGCCATCAACTATTGGGAGCCAGCAGTGTCTGTTAGTGAAATGACTCATGAACTATTGGAACAATTTTGATGAAACTTTCAGATGAAGGTTAAAGAACGTGCATCTACAACCAGTTGATTTTTGGAGCCAACCTAATACAAGATGGTGAAGATCTCACAATATCATATGTCTTCATGCATTACATCCTTTACAAGGTTTGACCAAAACAGTTAAACATCGGTCCCTTCACAGCACAATGTATTTTTGTTAAAATCTTTGGCCCAAGAAGTGTCAGGTGATATGAAAAAAAGGTTTGTTAAGTTCAATCATCCAGGTAAATAAATACAAAAAAGGTTAAATCAAGTGGACAGTTTCTTTTTGGGGGAACGTTTCGTCTTTCATCCGAGAGACTTCGTCAGTAGGGCTATCAATGAGCGCTATTTATAAGACAGACCTGGGTTGGCAGGCCTCAGACTGCCAACAAATTAAAACGAAGCGTTTCTCCCAAAAAGAAACTGTCCAGATGATCTGATGTTTGCGTCAGGTGATTTGTCAAGGAATGCAAGGATGATCCTGTTCATGTAGCTGAGAAGAGTTCAGGATCCAGGACTCACCGTGTTGAAGTTGGGAAAGAGGCTGAGGGGGGAGGATCCATTGATCCTGAAAGGTAGGAGGTGTTTGAGGTTGAGATGAGGCTGCAGAGGTCTTCCTGGGACTGGGAGAGAGGCGAGGAGGGGGCCGCCCTGAGCAGATGTACCTGGACAACACAACGAGATAGCTGTTAGCGCTGCAAATAAATATCACGGTACATTTTTGTCTAGCTGCTGGGCTCAAGGGCTCAGAGGACACCGGAGGTTTACCTACACTCTGACACAAAGCACAATCTGTCGATGCTTATGTGTTACAAAATGTAATATTTCTTGACCCCCAACAGGCGAATGCACATGTGTATCCTTCAAGTACACACACCTGTCCTTCATCTACACACTCACACATGCACATAAACACGTCATTTAATTAGTGATTTATTGGCCAAGGGAAGGCGGCTGCATGAGTGGAAGACAAGAGATATCGGATTTCAAATGGACCAGGGATGAAGAGATTTCTAATTTTCTGCCTGGCTGCGTTTCAGTGGAATGGTGCGCTCAGCTGTGCGCGGGCATTTATTCCGGCACCGGGATCAATCATTGGTGTCAGCTGTGGGTTATCGTGGCCACCCTGGAGTGTGCGGATCTATAAGCTCTCGCAGCAGCATGAAAGTTGCTGTTGCACTTTTGCAAGAAACAATAAACACGCCATAAATAAAGCAACTAAAACAACAAAACACCATCTTCTAAAATATAAAAGGCAGGGGTCAAGGGGTCATTATATGTAACGCAGAAAATTAGACATTCTTCTTTTAAAACAATCTGAATTAAAAGCCATTCCTGAATCAAATAGATTAAACTGACGAAGTCTTTTGGATGAAAGACGAAACGTTTCCCCCCAAAATAAACTGTCCACATGACCTGATTTAACTGTTTTTATATTTATCTACCTGTATGATTGAGCTTCCAAACCTTTAACAACAACAACAACAACAACAACAACAACAACAACAACAACAACAACAACAACAACAACGATAATAATAATAATAATAATAATAATAATAATAATAATAATAATAATAATAATAATAATAATAATA